CCCTGCCGAAGGGCGCTCGCATTAACCATGAATTGGTTGGTATCACGCGCACAACTCGGTTGCTGCCAGCCCATAATAACCGAAGTAGGAAAAGCCGATAGTTCATGGGGTTGTCGACGTCGCTTAAAGAAAGAGAGTGCTTAGGAATGAAGTTTAGAATTGGCCAATAGGGCTGTCCTTACGGCGGAAGTCTTCTTCATTACTGCAAGGTAAATCGCGCGATAGATGAGTGGCATATTGAAGATACTTCCTTCGCTCACATATCGAAGAAAAGACACCAGGAAGCTTCTTATTTTGGTGCCTAGTGCCATCGGCTGCGCGTTCTAATCATTTTTGAGCCACTGAGTCTATCCCAATCGCCGAAAAATGATAACATGAGACCTATTCAGGTACAGAGGCAGCGCTGCAGCCTTTTCTTTGTCCTAACGCATACTTCGCATACTCTACCGCATAGGAGCAAACATAAGTGATTCGTTAAGGGTAAGACAGACTTTTAGTTCTAAAATGGCCATAATACTCACCTACAGTTATGGTCTTAACTTCCACAGCAAGCAGTCATTACTCTGATAAAATTTCAAGCAATAAGCTCATCAAGAATCTTGCAAAGGTCATACTGTCTAAATTTTTTAAAATAGTACATTCGAGCAATTAGAAATCATTTTTTGGACTTCGTTGTGTATGTGAAATTCGAAATTCGAAATGCACGCTCTCACCAATTTCGATGAGTCATTAGACGTTGTCAACAGCCATGCAGCAGAGTTTGGCTCTCCGAAATAAAATCTACTCTCGACGAAGAAGAACCAATTCTACGAGTTGCTCAGCGTTCCCACACTGCTATATGGTGCAAGAGCGTGTACGATGTCCACATCTTCTATTTTCGGGAGAAAAGTTTTTTAATTGATTTTTGGTCGATGGCGCAACGGTAACGACGAATACCGCTGTCTTTGGACCTACAACTACATTGATGTAGTTAAGCGAATTAAGAGACGGCTGGCTAGGTTACGAAAGAAAAGACTACAACTCTAAAAGTATGTGAAGTAGCAACCGCAGGTGAGAGTAGATGAAGATGAAGTTCTTTGAAGATGAAGTTCTATGAGAGGCTCAGGTGTCACTACTTGCCGCCGGACGACTAAGAAAAGAAACGACTCGTCGCATATTGTTTATTCGGCTATAATCGCGTAAGCCGTGTATGCGCGAAAGAAGAAGTTTTGATAGAGCTTAACCTGTTGCAACTACCAATTAAACCAGCGGCTGTTATTTATTTTTTTCGCTTTGGACTACATTACCGTTACCATTGAGTGTATATAATATAATGACATCCTTCTGTGACTGGGGAAAGTGTTGCGTTTTACACGTAAAGATGCCAACCCTGATCCAAAGTTTGTACTGTCTGATCTAACAACAATTCACGATGGTTATTTGGCAATCTGTCCTAATAAGGATATGTCACAGAACCAAAAGCGATTTATTATATTGAATAAAGCTGTAAGATGTCTCGAGTTTCCGTATACCAACGCGAGCCAGTTGCTCGGAAAGTCAAATTTCAAGTCCTGGTTCGACCAAAATCTAATTGCATCCACTCTTCGTCAAGGAATTGCAAGCTCTCGGAGTGTATTTCTGACGTGAAGTAGAAGCTTGGCTGTTCAGAGATGGCTTAGAATGAATTGTAGTTTCATTTGTTACAAAAACATCAAGACGATGGCGACAAGTTTGAAGATACGGCTAAAAAAAGGTTGCCCCTCGGAAGGGAATATCAAACCCTCCGTGTGTATTTAGAACATGAAAACCGCCTCGGAGGCGGTTTAGTATTGGATGAGTGCATAAGTTCGTGCCAAATTTCAAGTGCAAACTAAAATTGAAATTTTTTTATGTATTTGCCATCATGTTCGGCAATCCACTCCCAACGTTCAACCAATTTACGGATGCCTGATTCATAGAAATCGCGCGGTTTCTCGTTGAAAAAGGTGTCAAGGTGGTTTTTGACGTCTTCCACATTTTTAAATTTTTTTCCATTCAAATTGTTCTGCAGCGATCGAAACAAATGATAATCAGAAGGTGCAATGTCGGTGAATATGGGGGATGCGGAATGATTTCCCAATTCATCTCCTTCAATTTGGCCAGGGTCGGTTTTGCAACATGTGGCCTGGCGTTGTCATGATGGAAAAGAACTCCTTTGCGATTGGCCAAAATCGTACGTTTTTCATCAATTGCTTTCTTCAATTCGACCAATTGCTGACAATACTTGTTGGCAGTGATCGTTTCTCCAGCTGGCAAGAGCTCAAAATGGATCACGTCTCGGATATCCCACCAAATGCACAGCAGTACCTTCATCGGATTCAATCCACCTTTCGACATCGGTTCCGCCCCTTCGTGTGCCTGTTTCCATGTTCTTTTGCGTTGAACATTGTTGTACGGGATACATTTTTCATTACCAGTCACGAGCCGATCCAAAAAAGGTTCGTTTTTGATCCGTCGAAGCAAAGAATTTGCTGTTGACATACGGTCCACTTTGTTTTTTTCACTCAACTGATGTGGCACCCATGTATCGAGCTTCAAAGTGTACCCAACCTTTTTAAACGACGAAACGCAGTTGATTTGTTGACGTTCAATTCACTGGCAACCTCTTTCGTCGAAATACGTGAGTTATTCGCAACTAAAGTCGTTAGAACATCGTCATCAAGCTCAGAAGGCCGTCCACTGCGAGGTTGATCTTCGAGGTTGAAATCTCCAGAACGAATTTTCGCGAACCATTTCTTTACTGTGCGGAGTGCTGGAGCACGGTCCAAATAAACTTGGCGAATATCTTTAGGTGCAGCGCCTACTGTTTTTCCTTTGCGGAATTCGTATAACATAATATGACGCATATGATCTTTTTCGTTGTCCATCTTCAATGCGTCTTTTCACTAAACAACTCAAATCAAAATGAAGTTATTTTATGTTTGATTTACAGTACTGTCACCTTTCCAACGATATATATTATGTATATATTTCTTTCACGAGCGCCACTCTCAAACGATTCGAACGGCATCCAACGGAATCGGGCACGAACTTATGCACTCATCAATATAAACCATAGGTCCCTCCATTAGTTGGAGAAACATCAAGACGCAAAACCACAAATTGGAGGAGAAGCTCGGCCGAAAATCGCTTCAGCGGTTATATAGCGCCATATGTATATATATATATAAATGAACTTCACCACGTTCTTTCTTGGTTCTACTAATTCTCTCATGTTCTAGTATACAGAAATACATAGAAAACTGAGATTGGATTGTCATTTATCAGAATAAACACTCCAAGCATCTACCTGTCTTCTATCAGATAGCCTTCTTGCTCAACTTCACAAATAATTTTAACTATTACAACAAGTAGTCAGTGTTTCTACATTTACTTCAGTTAGGCAAAGTAAGGACCTTGTTTGGTCGCAACAGTGTCTGGTAGCGTAGTTGCCATGACCTACTTATATAGAAGAGTTATATCGAGCTTTTCTTACTTAGTCTTTAGCGTACTGGGTATTTCATGTACCGTTTTTGTCGGACACGATCATCGACTTTATCTCAAATCTCCTCTTCCCGATAAAGCGGAGGGTATGAAGTCTGTTCTATCTCTTGAGCCCTGCTGAAGATTAAGACAGAGTGTTCACATAAAATCGCCACTCTTACAGCGATGTAAATCTTGGTGCGAAGTTTTCGATAGTCAGCGGGTCATGTATTCTTTCGAGTGGAATCTTTGGAGAAGTTCACAGCGATTTCCTAATACAAAAGACCGCAAGTTGCAAGTTTGGTAGGTGGCCTTTTTTTTGGCCCGTAGTCCAACGTACCGAATCATCGTGTTACAAGATAGACCGTGATACTTTTGCGGTTCCCAAGTATTAGATGCGCTCCATTCAGCTTAAGAAATCTTTTAGTGAAGAGACATTCTTTAAATTTTCACTGGATACAGATTTTATATTATTCAACCTTTTTTAAGGAAGCTCAGAAGGAGTTTTAGGTGGTATAGTAGACATCGTAACTGTATAGATTTTTCGCTATATCTTTTCGTTTCACGCTTTTAAATTAACTGTGTGAGCAACAATAATTAACAAATCTCTTAATCAATGTAAACTTGGTGTGGGGTTAAAAGGCAAATCCGATGCACATACTTATACACTCATTAAAACAACTTTCTCTTTCATTAGAAATTTCAAAATTTCACTGCAAAATAGTTTTTTTTTAAATTATGACAAAAAATTCGCACAAAAATTTTTTCCCTAAAAAACCAGCGAAAGTTGCTCTCCTCTAAGCTTGGCCAACGGTCACAATATTGATGAATATTTGTATTTGTAATTATGTAAATATATTCAGTGCTATTCATAATGCGTCAGCATAATTAATCGCCTGTAAATGATCTTCGAAATGATCGATAGTGAAAAGTTAGCTTAAAAAGCTTCAATTAATTTCTTTGAGATATTCTCTTCTTCTTCTTTTTCTCAAAAGTCAGTTGTAACTCGTTTAATACATAAATTACATTACAACTAAGAATTCGACTATTAATCAAAACAATTATAATTTCTTGACCCAAAATTTGGCAAACAGGTTGGCTGCTCTGTTGTCTACACTGCCAGTGAACCGTTAAAGAAAGCAGCGCTTTTGAGTGAAACTTTACATGAAAACGATTAAGATTCTTTGTAAAGATTTGCTTATGAACTGAAACTAAAACATATTAATAATATGAATAATTAATGAGTTGAGAGATGCTGCGGTTTTGTTTTTTTTTGTTGAAGCCAAACTTTATGCTTATCAAAGCGAATGTCTCGTGAGCAGAAGCTCATCTAATGCGAAAGTCGTTGGAAGCGGCACTCATAAAACTATCATTTTTATTATTTTTATCCTCTATTTTTATTTTTGTTTTCGGATATTTTAGTAACTTCATTGATACGAGTTTATTTAAACAGCATCTTCGAGGCTTCGGAGCTTAGTTTTCGTTTTAAGTTCGATCGGTTTTGTTCGAAACGCCTGATGATGAGACAGAATTGGTGTTGCACATTATTTTTGATTGCCTGCTTGACGGCGGTTTTGGTGAAATGTACGTGTTTGCAAATAATATTAACAATAAAATGAGTGATCAGTGATGAGAATATGTCTTAATGTTTTTAAAATAGAAATATCAAAAATAAAATGCCATAAAATAAAATACCATAAAATAAAAAGCAAGGAAAACCCAAAAAAAATTAAAAAATAAGACATACATGTAAAAATAAAATTAAATAATACAGAATAAATGCTGCAGAATTAAACTGAAATCAAATAAACTTAAATTAAATAAAAAAATAAAAATCAAAAAAATTATATAAAATACAATAAAATTAAATTAATTATTAAACTATATTAAATACAATTAAATAAACGAATATTAAATGAAAATTCTAACTATTTTAAAAAACTAAATAAAAAATTAAATAAGTAAAAAGAATAAAATTAAATAAACAAAATATATTAAAATTAAATAAATTCCAATTAAAAGAAAAAAAGTAAAATAAATTGAAATAAAATAAAATAAATAAATTAAAATTGGATGAAATAAAATAAGGTAACAAAAAATTAAATAAAATTAAATTAAAAAAGGTGAAATAAAATAAAATAAATTAAAACAAATAAAATGAAATGAAATAAAATAAAATAAAATAAAATAAAATAAAATAAAATAAAATAAAATAAAATAAAATAAAATAAAATAAAATAAAATAAAGTAAAATAGAACAATATGAAATAAAATGATAAAACTAAAATAAAATGAAATAATATAAAATGAACTAAATTAAAATAAATAAAGATGAGAAGCATCTAATTAAATAAAAAAAAAATTAATAAATTAAAATAAAATGAAAAAATTAATAAAAAAAGAAGTAAAAATTATGAAAAATAAATAAATATAAAATACAATTAAGCTAAAAAATATATCTTGGGTACTTCATACTGGTACCCGCCCCACAGAAACGTATTGATTTATGATAGCAATAGCACCGAAGATCAGGAGCGAGATATTTTGAAATGTATATGATAACTTTTTCATGTGATCCTCACTGTTGAGCCTTCTCAACAATTTGCTATCCAAGACTACTCCCAAATATTTAGTATCCGCTGAAAATTTGTCTTTCCCAGCATTGGTTTGATTCAAGCTGGATTTTTGTATTGATTCGTGCTAATTTCCTCAGTGTTGTCGCTAAGTCCCAATTCCAAAGAATATGTGATAAAAATTCATACTGTTGATGCGTCTCCATCCTTTTCTTACTTTTTACTTCTTACTTAATAAGGATAGAACCGAATCTTATCGATGAATACTTCAATTCACTACTACACACTCTTACATAATAATTTTATTTCGATCTTCATCTCCTTTCAGCTGAATCTTTCGTCGAAGTCGACGAAGATGGCAATGAAATTGAGGTTAAACGCTTCTATATCGAAGGACGTCAGCTAAATGGTGGCCGTCGACAATGTGTGGAGACACGCCGACGTAGACGTTCTTCATTCTACGGGCAAGAGGATGAGAAAGCAAATGAGGATATTATTACAACCGCGCCATCGGGTATTGAAACCGCAGTATCCATTGATGAAGATGAAGACGAGAAGGAAGATGAAACCGCTGCCGGTTTAATGGGACCACTCAAGGATAAAAACCGTATTCAATCGCAGAACACAGGAGGCAATAACCATGATGAGGGTGACGAAGAAGAAGAGGAGGAAGAAGAAGAGGGCGTACTAAATTTACCTGTAGTAGCGCAAATCACACATGACAGTGGACACTCCACGGTGGCGGCCGCCACAACTGGCCATAATGGCGTAGTTATTGTACAAACGAACACGCCACCCAAGGTGAATCCACAAACGCATGCCGTTTTCGAACTACTACCGGTTAATCATGAAGACACCGATGGCGAGGGAGGCGACGACTATGACGAAAATGGTCATTTTATATACCAAGAGGAAATTAGTCCAGTAAGCACTACAGCTATATGGTCCACGGGCGAGGATGATCCAATACCATATAGTCAAGCTGAGTTGGATACTCTGAATGACGACTATCAGGATACTTCTGATATAGATGATGACGTAGAGGGTGGAAAGCCAAGGCCTTCCAAGAAACCATCCAAGCGACCAACGAAAAAACCTACAAAGGAACCCTCGAGAAGTCCAAATAAGAGGCCCAACAGACGACCCAACCAATCGGGCAATAAAAAACGTCGACAAGGCAACAAGAATAAAAAGTCACCCGTCAGACGTGGTAACGGCAACAATAATAGACGTCGTCCCAATAAACAAAATAACGACTTTAATGGTTTACGTGCGACCGCCAACCGACGTAGGAAACAAAATCTAAACAATCGTGATATCAAGCGTAATCAATTGAATAACGATGATCACGAAAATCAAGGCACAAATACGTTTACGAAGACCGAGACCTTGACGCGGACCGGCACGGGTAACGACGATAGGAATGTGAATTGTATTATCATAAATAAGACCACAACGCCCCGTCCGTTCTGGGGTCTATTCGGCCGCAGCGCCGATGGTGATGTTGAGGCGCCCACGGCGAGACCTTATGGCAGAAGGAAGCGCATAAACTTTAGTCTGCCAGCTTAATGTTGGTAGAAAGTTTGAGAAAATGAGGAAACTAGAATTAAATTAAATTATTTATATATATATTTATTTATTTATTGAAAATAAACGAAACTTGAAATGTCGAATATTAATTTTTGTATGAGAGTGAGTTTCCATACGGCTCGGAGTTGGATTTTATTATTAATTCATATTTAAGACAAAATTTGAATGACACACAAGAGCGGATAGCTTCGGTGAGTTTACTATTCCAAGTCCACCATTTTTTCAAACTCTTTCCCCTCAGACACTCGCGTGACAAGGAAAACGATTTCAAGTCTCTCCATGTGTCTTTCGCTATTCGGCAGTAATTGGAATTACCAAGCACAGCCAGGTCCTTCCAATCGAAAACTTTCAAAGCTGGAGTATTCTTATCCATCCGGACAACATGACCTAGTTAACGCAGGCGCTGCTTCTTTATTCGCTGAATTATATGAATGTCGCCGTATATCTCATACAGCTCATCGGTACACCGACTGTGGTATTCGCCGTTCCCAAATCGTAGAGGATCATAAATCTTACCTCGACAACTCCTAACGCCGACTCATCAGATGTTGCCGTCCATGCCTCGTTATAGCACTAAGTCAAGGGAATGATGAGTTTTGTCTGCGTTCGTCGAGGCTTTACTCTCAACTGTCTATCGGCAAGAGGTGTGGGGGGGGGGGGGACTCGGACCACTAGTCAATGCTGGGTCCTTGATATGTATGTACGTCAAGAACACCGGAGACATGTCTTCCGTGTATCATTATACGACAAACATTCATTTTTTGGGCCCGTCGAAGTCTATCAGCCGCAAACCATAGGGGAATGTTTTGTAGTTGAGGTTAAATTTTGACAGTAGTGCTGAAGATGCCCTCTTTACTCACCATAGTCTACTGTTAAAATAGCCAAGCACGATTTTTCATCCGAGACATAAATAATATTTTCATTGGAGCTGCTTTCTACGTGACGGGTCCCAAACCACAACTCCGTAAGTTTAAATTGTTTACTAATTTCTATAGCGAGTCGCTGGCTTCTAGATAGACGCCCGCTCGCAGCCGCACCTCTGGTGCACAGACGCTACAATTAATCTTCAGCAGACCCTTGAACCAAATGAGTCGTCATATTGGCATCATTGAAAAACTAATAAGTTTCATTAGGCAGTAAGCATGAAGGTGCCGGCCGGTTCCGACATTTTGAGCTTGTTCATAGCATCACATGGACTCTGGTTTCTACTGGGGTACAAAATATGGTGCTAATGGCTCATCTCTAGCACAATTTCGTTACGAAATCAGTGCGCTTTCATCACTTTACATCAAAAGTAGCTCAAATAAGACTTCGGGAGCATTCTGAGAACTCTTCTTGCGTGCCAGACTGTATAAACTCAAACCTGTAAGAAGTAAAGTGTTAAGTGCTTAAAATAAATTTCGTAAGTTACTCAGGACTCTCTGCGGCAACCACAAGAGTCCCAAAAGTGTGTAGAACGAATTCACATTGCGAGTGTGCACACTTTGCTTACATCATACAACAACAGACCAGATAAGCTTCTCACTCTTATGCTTGAAGAATATTCATGAATTTGGGTTTAGCTGCAAATTTTCCACAATTTAATTATCTCTTCAATGTAACCCCCCGCAATTAGACGCTTGACTTCTCATATAACACTGAGGAGAGTGATGAAAAAAAAAGTTCCGTACAGAAACTTCCCACGGCTAAGAGGTTTGGCACGGTGCGCATACTCGTATTTAATGCGAACGACTCCACCCGCATGACATAGAAAAGATTTTCCCAAGCTCTTTGTGTCTTTGTTTTTGTTCGAGGCTTAACCAAAAAAAAGAGTGATAATACAAACAATGAATGCTTTACCGTTTAATGTTTGGCGCACACACACAATAACAACAACAACTACTAAACTTTTGAGTGTAATATAGATAAATATGCAAAAAGCTTGAGTAGAAGTTATCTCATAGGTGGGTTGTGGTACAAATGATATGCTTGCCTACACGCGAGTGGGTTAGGGATGTAGCAAGTTTTCGATTTCGGTTACGAGGAGTCAGTGGAGTTCCACGAGACCATCGAGCGCTGAATACGAATTGTGTTCTGAAAGGTTTGAAGTGTTGTTGTTGTTATTGCCGCAAACATAATCCCCAAAGTAGTTTTGGAGGAACGTTGCGGGAGTGACAGCCTTTTCCGAGTCGTGCCGGTAGAAAGACCCTACCGACGCGTGAACTTTTGGATCGCCACTTGAGACAGGCATGCCTTACTGCAGAAAAACTCCTGAACCTCCTCCCTGCAGCGGCTTGATATCTGTATTGCCGGTGTCTAGTCCGATTTTGCTGAAGCAAATGTAAATGTTTCGATTCCTCACGTTACCTCACGCGGAGCTTGCAGCAGCTTGACGTAAGACCGTGAGTAGTTATGCGAGAGTAGAGAAAGAAAGTCGTACCTTTAAATATTTTATTTGGGTTTGAGAACCCAGACTCAACGGACTCCAACTTGAAGCCTCACTCCTATGATAACGTGGAAAGGGGTCTCTCAATCTACGCATTAACTTATTACTTGTCGAAATGGAATGGAATGTGTTTACTAGATTACACCCATGGCAAAGACAGTAGACTTCGAGACTGAAAAGTCAGAAATTATTATTATCGGCTTTCGAGGCTGCGCGTTACACATATACTCACCCCTATAAATGACGCGGGTGACGATTTCATTGCTAATGAGACCACTTTCTTTCTGATGTCTTCTAGGTGCAAAGAGGTGACCCATACTTCGTTGCTTGCACTTACATAGTTACACTGACTTTGGTTTTATTAAACAAGCTTTCGAAATCTATCTAGTTGTTATTAATTTCTTAAAAAGCATAGGTTTTCTGCACTGCTTTGGGGAGCTCATTTCACATGACCATGGATTTGATTTTGAAAAGGTGTCGTGTTTGATTATTTGCTCCTCGTGACAGTTCAGAAACAAGTTTCCATCGGTTTTGAACCACTTATGACGAGACTCCAACTCAGGTATCGACTTCAGTACCGTAAAATAAGGTTCTAATGACTATTACTAGTGAAATGGAACCGACAAAAGTGTTTCCTTTATAACTTGGGTGGGGTTTTTGGCACCGAGATAAAAAACATCGCTTCCATTTGGAAGAGCCAGAGCTTATAATCATTATTTATAATTATTCGTTCCTAGGCGCGATACTCAGATCAGTTTCTTTGTGTGAGTTTTGGCTCTATAATGTACGAACTTATTATGGATTATGAGACAAACTAAACTTTTTAGTGACTACTGCTTACCGAATGGAGCTTCGATAATTAATCTCCGAGAGGTTATGCAACTTCGACCTTGCGACGAACGAGATCAAAAACTTAACCACCAAACTCACTATCGTTGGAGCGCTGGATTAAAGTACCTGTAACAGCGACTGGCCTCGTTTGCTCAGATATTTTCCTTGCATCATCTACTTACCCTTTAGCTCCTGCGCCTCTAAAGTAAAATCTAAATAATTCGGTTCCGGCTGTCGCTCAAGTAAACTTGAATCCGTAACAGCTCTAGTTCGTAAAAAAAAATTGGATTTACGTAAGTGCAGGTCTTTACATGGGTACATGTACTTATGTTTCTTGCTATCCAACCGTTCTATAAGAACTTTATGGCTTTTCCCTAATTTTTCCACCTTAACAACTTCGTAATCAAAATGTTCAGCGAAGCCTAACTATTTGTTGTTGTCCCTATGTTCCACTGTCGCAGGTCTTCTTCTTCTCCCACACTACTTATCTCACGGTGACTTCCTTTATATATTTTTGTTATTGTTTGTATTTTGTATTTTCTTTAGTTATTTGAGGTTTCTTCCTTCATGTGGCGAAAATACGTTACAATGACTTAAGCGCATGCGCGTACGACGATCATTAGCGGTAACAACACGCACAGAAGCGAGCGCAAAGCATTTGGACGACAACAGGGAGTCGAAAATTGCACGCTCTGAGCTCCGCTTAGAAACCACATACTCGTATATGCCCGCGGCACAAGCTATCAAGCGGCGAAGGTGAATTACGAGCGCGCGTTTAAATGTTCTCGCAGAAGATAACGAACAATGTTTGAGGAAGATGAGCAAGTAAGTGAACTGGCATTACTATGTTTTCCACGCAATACCGGCTTGGCGCTCAAATGGTGTCACCAATATATACATAAATATCTATGTATGTTTGTCTTATGATTATCAGAAATTCTTTTCGTAATGACCTAACATCACGTTGACAGAGGCGGTAACCGAAATTCGACCAGCAGTGGTGAGTTCTACGCCATATTTGCATGACGGTTGGTCACCACCAGCTGCGACTCTATGAAGACGCGCTATCAAACTCAAGTTAAGCAAGAAGAAGTTGCGCGCGTTTAACAGCTACCGGATGTATTGTAGGTACCCTTTGACCCGACGACGATGAGCTGTTTGTTGTCATTCAATCACATGAGTGTTCAATCGAAGTTCGTTTGCAGCGCGGCTAAAGTGGTGGCTCTGCTCTAGTTTAAATGTCGTGTGGATGTACTCGTATGTATGTATGTTTCTTTGTGTGTGGTTGCACGTGTGACTGCCATAAAAATTTACTTGTCACATTTTCTTAAAAAAAATATCAGAAAAACAAATTCAAATAATGAAACTAGTAGTGAAGATGAGAATAAAAAGACACACTTGCGTCATACGACACTCGGTGAGGGAGAACTCTCACACATACGTGTATGTACGCGTGTGCACATATGTGCATATATACACCTGGTTTACCCGCGCAATTTGCACCCTCTTCATAGTTGACCACAAGCGACATAAGGCACGTCAGGGCAGTTAGTTCTTGGCGGTGCAGAAGTTGTTGTGCTGCACTTCAAATGAAATCAAATTATCTTTTCGTGCATAGCGAAGGTGCACATACTTATTTTCTTTATCATTGTCATCCAAATTACTTGTCTTCAAAATTATACGACATTTCCCCTCTTTTTTTGGAAGATGTACTTCACTCGCG